ATCGTAACACACATAGTTAATAATAATGTGAATGAATGCGTGTGAATAGAGAAAGAAATAATTAATGTGATTGTTAGGACCACAATGCATTATGGCAACGAAGAAAATTATGTGCATAGAATTATGATAAAACGCGACGCGCAGTGATTTGTGTTAGATGCTATTCCTACTTGTCTGGAATCTTTATAATATGTAGTTAGTTCAGTACTATTTTTTCTCTTGTGTAATAATTATCAAACCGATAATATCGAAGCGTTCGTTCTGCTATTGAAATTGAAATACATTGCACGACTTGTCTTGTCTTTGAAATAATCAAGCAAGTCCTAACATAAAAGGATTATTTACTTTGTTATTTGTGTTATCATCACAAGTTACGAATTATTGGTCAACAATACTTTACTTAAAACAGTTAGAAAATTAAAGACTTTTTAGGACTTTTTGTTCTAAAAAATATTATATATTTTTTATTGCTTTTAAAATTTATTTGTACAATTCTTACTGTTGTGCATTTATATTTTTTGAGCGACACCTATACTTTATTCAACTCAGTACCATTTACGGTAGTACATTACAAAGAATTGTTGAGTTCCTTGTCTATTCGTAGCATAGACGCTAATATGAGTAAGTATATGTGTTAATAAATTTAAGTAAAGGTCTATACGACCTATAAGGTACATATCACCAATACGAACATAGTTTGGTTTTCTGACATAAAAAGACCTGGTGGATTAGTATTCTTGTTAACAACGCTACACCGTCAGAATGCGTTCTGGCTCTTCTTTATAGTAACAGAAGATCATGAGCGTTTTAATAAGAGTTTTAATCTATCTCTATTTAAGAGTTTTAAGTTAAATTTTAATAACTTTACTGGTTTTAGGACATCTTGTGAGTCCGCACGGGTAGGTACCACTACTCTGCCTATTTCTGCCGCGAAGCAGTAATGCATTTCGGTTTGAAGGGCGGGGTAGCCGTTGTACTGTAAAAAGTACTTGTATAAAACCCGTCATGACTAACGTAATAACGCGAGTATGGTGTTCGCTCACGCGGCACACATACACACACAGACACCCTCCAATCCCTACAATCACGCTTTTGCAGAATAACTCATGTCTCGAGGTGGGTGGCTGCACTTAAGTCGTAGGGGTCTATGGGCTCCGGTAACCACTTAGCACCAGGTGGGCCGTCAGCTCGAGCACCCACTGCACTGTATATAAATAGATATGTATATTGTAAACCGTATTAATCGTCTCGTAGTTATTAGTAAATATGACGGTAGACTGTTACAGTAAAAAGTTATGACAGATTGTCACATAACGAGTGTATTTACATTTTCATTATAGAACAAAATAAAATACAAAACCATAATATATTATTTACATGATAGTGCTTCACCATCGCTCTTAGTGAGATCCGTACTTTATTCCTTGACCTTTTCACATGAATTAAGATGTTCTAACAAGTGTTAAATATGACATACAGTATAATTAATCCATAAATATGTATTTAGAAACTACGAGCTAAAATATGACATCGTAGGGACTCCAATTTGATACGTTACGTTTGGAAAATGTAAATATATTATGAAGCCGTCGTGACCTAAATGTCCGCTTGATGTACTTGTATCATGCGATGCGATGCCTGTGTTCAAATCCCGCAGGTATCTATGTACGTTTTTATTTTTATGAAAAAATAACTTGTGTAATAATACTGAAGCACGAGCAATGTTTATTTATGTAATGACTAATAAGTAGTAGGGCATTTTGTGAGTCCGCACGAGTAGGCATCACCACCCTGCCTATTTGTGCCGCGAAACAGGAATGCATTCTGACTTGAAGATGCACAGCAATCTACAGCCGTTATAACTTTAAAATAAAAATTATGTATAATTTATATTAATAGCAAATAATAGCAAAATATTGAATAGCAGTAGGAGCTTTAATGTTTATTTTCGCCGCATAAGGCCGCCGAAAAACAAAAACAAACAACATGAATTTATAAGGTCACGTCCCGTCCTTCTTGACGTAGGGCTCTGTGATTGAACTTGTATGTTAATGCGAATCTTTGCCGTATCCAATAAAGGAAGGGGTTTGTTTATCTTTATCTTTTATTCAACGCTAAACTATCTTCTTTTATGATTATTTTCTATAGGATTGAATACGTTATTTAAAAATAAATGTATTTTAGACCACAGCTTTAGCTAACAATTAACGATTTTTCTTGCCTAGTTCTTGCCTCTTGCTCTTGCTTAGCTCTTCCCTAGTTCTTGCCGAGATCCTCCTCTTCTTCCGATTCCTGCCAGGAGACTACGTCCTGAGATAGGCGTGCGAGGCGCTGCGTGGCTTCAGCTACATAAGATCCGCCCCAATAAACCGACTACCGACCAAACCCCATTATAAGATTATAAGCCTGTCGTGTCAATAATGTATTTTCTACAGATATTTGTTAGATTTGTAGAACAGTTGCTGTTATTGGGACTTTCACCTCGTTTCTGTAGGTTGAGTAACAAATGGATGCAGTAGCTAATATGTTCGCTGATACCTAATTTTCACCAGCAAGGCCGGGAAATTCAGTGAATTTCGCAAAAAAATGTGCGTCCTTAATTTGTTGCCTTGCTGTGGATATAGGGCTCTAACCTCTGCATTTTTAAAAGCCCCATCCGATCGATCTTGCTAGCTACGAACCTACACGTGAGTCACGACCGACGGCATCGAGAGGTACTAGATTCTACTACAAATGGGCCTGAACGAACACTTCAATGGTGATTGGTTTGCTGTAGATTCAAGTACGTTCCATTGAACGTTGAACCTATTGAATTTCGAATATACTAGTAGATACTAATATACTATGTTATTTGTACATATATTCGATATTTACTCGTAACAAGATATTTCAAATAAAATATCGATATTGACCAAGGCCGGTTTATTCCAACATGTCCCATTTTTATTATGATCAACATGTAATCGTAAATACGCTCGAACAAGCATAATAGACACAACGCGATCGGAACGCGTCTTTACGTATGCAAGAACATAATTTAATAATCCAATTTTTATGTCTGAAATTTACAACATGACAATGGTAACTATAATGGTGAATTCAGAACTTTTTCGTTTCACACAGACTTTCTTTCAGACGACTTCGCAAAATTACATAATATATAAAACACGGACCTTCTTAAATATGAAGTTAACTTTGTTATTTCAAATAACTGAGTTGAGTTAAAAGTGTCATCGCGCGTCACGCGATCGTGAATGTTGATGCTAATATTCGTATAATTCTTCACCGAGTTCTTCTCTATCTAGCACGAAGCTAAAACTTATCACTCCCTAATTTCTGATATAAAATTTGCTTACTTTAGTTGACTTTACTTATGAATTTCTTGAAACTCTGTATCCTTATTGTCGTGTTTCTTCTAACAGCTGTATGTACAAAATATACTAAATAAAAATAAATAAATTTTGAACGAAAACAGAAATATGATTTTCGTTTTAGAGGCACTTTTTAAGTACAATATCTATAGTTATGTTACACAGCGATTTTTGTGATCAGATTAATCACTATTCAATCATATGGAACAAATAAAACATAACGACTTCATAATATAAAAAATAAAAACCGATGACCGAAGAACATCATTCGTGTTTTATAAATAAAAACATTCGCAGCACATTAATTTTGCTTTCTTTCTGTTTCAATATTCGATCGATACAGGCATGTTCTTGCATTGAGTTTCTGTAAAGTGCCTAGACGATGAACGATTTTGCGCATTTAAATTTTGTAGGACGCCGCATTCAGGCTATAATAATTTTTTAACGGATAATTATTATTAAATTTTCAAGTACTGTTAAACGAATCTCTCACAATGTATTCGACCGCACCTAAAGTGTATTCTGTATTTCTTTTTGAATGATATTTTTGATTCTATAATTTTGTTACTTGTTGAAATGCTAATGATATTAATAGACGAATTGTTTAAAAGTGTTTCACAATGATTAAAAAATCAAAGTTCCGTCTTCCGAATGAATACTTTGGGAACCGTCACAATGGTACATAATTATACTGCGAAGTCGAGAGGTTTGTTTAAGCTGGAGCTCATTCAAAGTGAAAACTCGTCCCCGCGAGATGAGAAAATGGAACGTCTTAGACGCTCCCTTAAATTTAGCTTCATTGTACATGTATTTCATTCTTGTCTTTACACTGCTGTTAATTTCTGTTTAATTTACAAAGACGAATGTTACCCATATTAATTTTCTTAGATTAGTTCAGAAATCCTGCAGAAAATAATTTTGATGAGATATCATCAAAACTATTTTTAAAATTATTAAAATAAAACATAGTAACATATTTATGTATTTGGGGGTTTTAATATACTCACAGTATGAGGAACGTAATGTTTGTGTACGAGGTGGCTAGTGGGAGTATTTTGACATATCTCTTCTTGCACCGATAATGTTGGTTACGTCATACCTATAAGTTAACTGCTTCCTTATTAATTGTAAGCTTTTAAATCTTTTTTTAAGTAATTCTACTACTTGATTTTAAAAGTTTAACTTGATCACTGTTGGCATAATTTCTCCAAACCAGTCCTGTTTTTTTAAATTTTGGGTACAAATTCTGGAATATAAGAAAAGGGTTAAGTCATAGTGAAAATTGGATAACTAGGTTTTAAATGGATTTTTTTTAGGACAACTCACGCGATTCTTAGTAAATATATCCCACTTTGAGATCTAATTCATATTTAAAAAAAATAGCAAGGAAGAAAGTATCCATAGCTAGACGAGATTGTGTCCTGTATCTTTTATTTATAAGCCGTAGTAGGCGTAGCCGTACTATTATTTGCAATCATCATTGTCCATAAGAACACATAAGTTAAAAATCCCTGTTTGGACAGTATTTAGGGAATAGAAATGTATGAAAGCTTTTCTCTTATCATCGTTCAATTAAAAATTACAAGTAAAAATATTAGGACATAATTAACTTAGTTCTTTAATTCACAGGAATATCGAAAAGGCTATCATGAATACTGAAGGGACATTCATCATGCAGGAAGACAACGTTGATGATGAAGTTTTCGTTATGAACGAAACAGCTGACGCGCTAGCTGTAATCGAAGCAGATCAAGACCGTTACCTAGTTGCGGGAAATGATAGCCTAGCTCAACACGGAGGTGGCTTGGAAATCAAACCGGGCGACTCCGATGAACTCAATGAAGAAGATACTAGAGATCTGAACCCTTATGTGAATGTTGCCCCACGTAATGAGGTTGTGAATTTTGATATTGAAGACGATGATAACATGCCCGCATTGATCCGCATTAACGATGATAGGGGTGAACTACGGATTTTCCTTCGTGTGGATCAACGCCTCAATGCTATGGCGAGACAAAATCCTCCTATTATCATTGACCGTGCTGATGATGATGCAGATGATGAGTCCGACAATGAGGAGGAAAATGGGGTAGCTGAAGTAGCCGAAGTACCCGAAGTAGCTGAGGTACCTGAAGTAGATGATGTAGATGAAGTAGCTGAAGTTGATGAAGTAGCTCAGATGGCTGAGGTAGCTGAGATGGCTGAGGTAGCTGAAAACCAACAGCAAATTGAAGGAGGGGACCATCCAAATAACGGAGACCCTGTGGAAGACGAAGAGGCTCTGTGAGTAACGTTTCTAATTTAACAAAGTAATTTTTAAGCGCGCCTTTGCTCTCATCTATGTAGTAAAAAAAATATATGCCTCGGGAGTAGTTTCTGAATTAGAAGTCTATCCTTTTTGTGCCTTTGACAATATGTATTTAAATTTACATGATTTTCCGTTAAAGGACATTATTCGCACTCACACATTTGCATTTATAAGTATATATTTATTATTAAGTAACAAGTATGGATTTCATACTGTTAGTATCATCACAATTTCTTCTAATAAATACACCCGGACAACTGTTGGCTGGCACCGGTGTCTGAGTGTAAAATATTAACATAAATAGCTAGCTGTTCGATATTCCAATCACGTCTCTGCTTGGATCTAAGTAACTGATAAGTCTGGTTCACAAAAATCGACCGAACCGTCGACGTCGGAGATCTTTTATTATCCAATATCTTTAACCAGCATACTTATACAGCATATTAGTACATTTTAAACTTTAATTACAAAGATTTGAAATGGGAACAATTTCATAGCATTTGAGTAAAAAATGGTAGAAAGAAGCTTAACAATTGGACACGCTGTAAGAAAAACTATTGTAAAACCTGCTATTTTTAATAAAGCAGATAGTAAGCGCTTAGAATTAGATAATGCCTAAAAAGCTGTAAAGTTGGAAATCTGTAAAGTGAAGATGGAGCCTTGACCGGACTGTTGGTGTCAAAATATTGTTAATATCATAGTTTTAAAAAGTGTTTCGCATTTTTTTACAAATCATTTAACCTTAAGTATACGTTTATTATTAGGTTAAGGTTTATACTTTAAAGATAAAGATAACGAAGCCTTTATTAACAACCTTAATTCATATTTAGGTACATTTTTCTTTTCATTTGACATCGGCTAAGATTGTTTTGCTTTCGCATAGGCCTCCCCCAAATCCTGCCATAAGTTCCGGTCGTGGCATTTCCTCTTCCACGTAGAGCCTGCAACGGCTTTTATATCGTCTACCCACCTTTGGAACGGTCGTCCTTTTAATCTTTATTTATTTATAATATTTTTTATTAAGGTTTATACTTAGGTAGTTTTAAATAAATGAGAAAAATCTCATATTTCGCCGCGTGTTAAGTACTTATCGTAGCTCATATACTTCATAACGCAAATGCTACGAATCACAAACCCATACGCAAGCAGACGTTTTGAGGTTACAATAGCAAGGGTCGGGGTAGAACACTCTGACCATGATATCTCTCTCAGTGGTGGAAGATGCATTAACGGATCTTCGCTAAGAGAAAGCTGAAAGTAGTAATACAAGTTTTGTGACTCACAAAAAATACCATGCCAGTGAAAATTAGTTTATCCTTAGTCTTCTTAATAATTGATCATTAATTCGTGGCCTAAAAATATCCGATATCCTCGCATTAAAGCTAGAATGTCGCATGCAGGTGCCAAATTTTCTAATGAAATAGGTACCTAGCTCATGGACGGCTTCCATGATAAAAAGAATAGTGTTCGCGACGGACATAAAGAAACATAGTTAGAATAAGATATTCCCGAACGGACATAAATGATTGAAAATAGTTAAATAGATATTGTTCGCGATGCACATAGATAGTTGTAAAATGATAGAAAATGTCCGCGATAAGTGAATGGAGAATAAATAGATAATACGTTAAAACAGAAATGTCCGTAAATAGATACGCTAGAATAGGAATATGTTCGCAAGTACGGCTAGATTTAATAGAAATAGAGATAGTCAGTATGTTAAAAATAGTTAGCATACAAATGTAAATAGAAATAAGTTAATTTGTAAATGTTATTTTGTAAATAAAGATTGGTCCTCGTGGTCTTTAATTTGGCGTGGGAACGCAGGAGCGAGTCACAATACGGGCGACTAATAGAGCGACTAGGCAAACAATAGGCGAGCGAGGCGGCCGAGAGAACAATAGACGCCCACCGTGCTCGGACTCATAATAGCGCTGGCCGAGTGCGTGTGGGCGACCATAAATAAGGGGCCTACCTCGCTGCAAATTCACTCGATCGAAGCCCCCCATAAGCGTGGCACTCCCGGGCAGTGCTACAGGTGCCAACTCTATGGCCACTCAGCGCGTAATTGCCACGCGCGCCCCCGCTGCGTGAAATGCCTCGGCGATCACGCTACGTTAGATTGTGTTAGAGATAGGGAAACCGCGACCGAACCTCCCAGCTGTGTCCTATGCCTTAAGCAAGGGCACCCCGCGAACTACCGTGGATGTCCCAGGGCTCCGCGGAAACGTCCAACCCACCCAGCTCCGCGAACCGTCGGCCCAAAGACTTCGGCACCTTCAGTGCCGAAACCCGCCTTCGTGCCGGCTGCAGTTCCCACGGTCTCGGCGTGGAAAAAGCCGCTGCCGTATACGAAGGCGGGAACGGAAACCGCACCCCCGCCCCCGCTCGTGACACGCCCCGCGCCCCAGCCCCTGCTCGCACCTCGCCCCGCGCCCGCGTTCCGTCCCCCGCAACCCTCTGCCGTCAACGACTTCGCGCTCGTGCGTGACTTCGTCACCGCGGTCAACTTCGACCGTCTGCGATCGTTCGCAGACGCGATACGTAGGTCGGTAACCCCCGAACAGCGGCTCGCGGCCGCTTTCGATCACATGGACGTCTACGAGTCCGTGTCGCGTCAGTTATAAAATCCTTTAGCCGTTAATCATGGCGAAAAGGTAGAGAAAAAGGCCCGGCCGGCCCCGCCCCCCCCCGCCCGCCCCCCGCGAGCGTATTGCCCTTACGTTAGCCATTTCTACTACACTGTAACGGACTTCGGCGCGGCAAGGCGCGATTCAATTTTGATTCCTCGGGCGCGATACTGCTTTGTAGAATATTCTATTAGTGCAGGAACCTGGTTCTGAAGCGCCGTCGCGTTTCGCGACGCGAAAGTCAGCGACTACGCGTTCATGGTTTAGGATGAGCAGGACTCACGCGCCTCGCAAAGGCGGGATGGGCATTTACTGATAGGGGGGGCGCAGGTCGGGCTGCACGTTGTCCCTCTCGATACTCCCTCGCTCTCACATATCGAGGCGTCAGTGTGCCGTATCTCGCTGACGGGACACCAACCGATCGTCATCGCATCCGTTTATCTCGCCCCGGACAAGCCCCTTCTGAGCAGTGACATCGAGTCACTGTTCGGCATGGGAG